TGTCAGATGAGGAATGTTAGAAAAAAAAAAAAAAAAAGAAATGGTATGCCCTGGAGAAGAAAAGATTTAAAAAGATATGATGGTTATATTCAAATATTAAAGCAGCTATCATGTTTTATAGAGGAATATGTAAACCTTTTCTTTCTGACTCTGGACATCATTACTAGCTAGGAACAGTGGATTTGTATTATATTTTTACTCAGACTAATGATAACTATTCTAACAACGGCAATTGTATGGCCAGAGAAAGGTCTACCTTGTAAGGAATAAACACCAACTCTGAGCACTCTAAAGGAAAAATTGGAAGTCTACCTACTGGGGAATCTATAAAGGAGATGGGGAAAATGATAGCACAAGATCCTATTCAAATATAAATGCCTACAATTCTCCCTGTCTATTACTGCCATAAAGCTGTAAGCACATGGCTCTAAACATAGGTTTTCTTGTTCTCAGTAACTCTAGGGACTCAATGGTAATGTTATACTCTGCTCAGCTCTAAGATATAGAGCTGGGCGTCTCTTTTCTCATTTAGTCATGGTCCATATCATCATATACCATTTCTTTCCACAATGATATCAAAAAGCTTAGTCATCCTCCCCCAACCCACGTTTTAAAATTCACAGAACATCTGGTTTTGGTTTTACATTACATTCATTGGAGAAGCCATTTTCATTTTTATAAAATGTTGAACCATACTTTCAGGTTTTCTACCACTGCTTCTTCTTCAAAGATGCAGCTGAGCCTATGCGTGGGAATATGAGTCCCTAAGAGCATCCATTTGCTGGCAGATAGTAAAGGTTGGGTGAGCCAAATACCTGCTTCTTCTTGGAAGGTGTTACTGCATGAGAGCAAAATGCCACTATAGAACATCCTTTTTTGAATGATATGCAAGTTAGTCTAGACCAACAATGACAAATATAGTAGCAGTACATGTGTCAAAATATGTATATATCCTGATATCAGTCTCATGTATAACCTGACTGTGAACAGAGTATAAAGAAGAATATACCCATTCTTTCTGATCCCTGGGCTTATTTCAATTTTAAACAAGGAAATTTGTGATCCTAAAGGTTACAGCAGAAGTGGTAGATATAGACACACACACATCACACATACTTGGCAATTCAGTAACAGTGTGGCTTTTTTGTTATTGTGTCTAAAATTTGAAATACCAAACTCAGAGATAGATAAATATAAAGGTTGATAAATTACAGAGTAAACTGATAAATAATAAAGTAACAATTCTTATCTTTGCCTTTTTTCATGCAACATAACCCTTCTCTCCTAAACATGCTACACAGATGCTAGTTACAGATTAACAGCAGGAAGGAGGAAACTCTACTTATTTTTCAATGCTGTCATCATGAAAACTATAACAAAATGTGTTGTATATCTGGTGGCAGAATCAATATTGGTACCTGTCCTTCAAGTGATTTGGTTGAAAGGGGTATGTCAGTTTGTCACCTTTTCCTATCACACACACAAAAGTGTTGAGTAAGAGACATTTTTACATCTTTAGCCAATGAAGGGAAGAGAGTTGGTATGTCCTAGGCAATTATTCTCAAAGGATGGGTGAAAGTTTCTATAAAAGGTCCAAGTGATTCCTTCCTTCAATCTGAAAACAGCTTCTGCAGAAATATTTATAATCCACAGGGCATGAACCAGAGAGAGAGGAGATTATGTTTTGAAATATGGGAATATAAATATACATTATCAGTTTATTGGGGACTCTTAAAAAAAGAAAGTATTTTTGAAAACTCTTGGGAAAGCAGCAGGGTGAGGCACAAAACTTGAATTCTCTGTTGTGGAACATGTTACTTAATCTCATGGAGTCTTAGTTTTTTCACCTGGAAAGCAGACATTCTAAATGTTACAGGGTAGGATTATTAAGAAGACTTTAGAAGCTAATATCTATAAAGTATTTGGCATAATTTTAGATTCTATAGCTGTTCACATATCTTTAAGTAATAGAAATAAATCTTTGATTTAAAAAATAAATTGGAATTCAATGTCTTGTTTTTTGACTTTCTTATGGTTGAATATATCAGTTTTAAAGGGAGCACATGCATTTGGAGTTCAAAATAAAAATAATGTGTGGTTTTTAGAGGCTATGCATTTACAAGTATATACACATATTAATAAACACACATATAATTCATTTAATAAGCAGAAGAATAGCACTCAATAACCATTGAAGCCCTCCCCATGAATGCCTTTTTTTGGTATTGAACTATAATTGACCTACAATGTTATATACTTTTCAAGTGTACAACATAGTGATTCAATAATTCTGTGCATTAGGCTGTGTTCACCATCAGTGTAGTTACCATCTGTCATCATACATTATTGCACTATTATTGACTATATTCCCTATGCTTTACTTTTCATCTCCATGACTTATTTATTTTATAACCGGAATTTTGTACCTCTTAATCCCCTTCACCTATTTCTCCCATCTCCCCAAGCCCCCTCCTCTCTGGCAAACACTAGCATTAATGTCTTTTAATATCCACAAATTATCACATCACAAACTCGATGAGTTTGGACTGCAAAGTGCAAAATTTCATACCACAAACTCTACAGTCCCACTGGAGGCACAGAAAAGGCTTACATCCTGCTCCATATGGTAGACAGCCTTCTCAGGCAGCTCACTTGGAAAGGGTAACATTGGCACTTCTGCAAAGTGGCCATTAGGAAGCTTTTGCTTTGCTGACAGGGAGTGCATCTGTGTGAGTTTCAATTTTAAGTGATCTCAAACTAGTCCACACAGTCAAAAAAGCTGGAGAATGTTCAGCAGGATAAATGGGTATAGCTTTGTAGAAAGAATGTTGGAATCAGACAGAGCTGATTCAGGAGATTGGAGGTCTTGCAAGTTATTCAGCCTTGAGGGTATTGCTTAATTTCCCTATATTTCCATCCTTTTATCTCTCAATAAATGACAGGTTATTTGCCTAAAATAAAAAAGACATCTTACTTTTAAACACTTCCTTCTTCGCACAAACTTCACATTAAGCCAGGAAGACATCTTACTTTTAAACACTTCCTTCTTCGCACAAACTTCACATTAAGCCAGGAAGGGCTCTTCCCATCAGTGTTTCTGACCTCCTGTTTTGGATCAGCTTAAATATGACCTCTTCAGAGAGACCTTCCCTGACCTGTCTTATTATTTTCTGTCTCCTATCACTTGTAATAATTTAAAATCATTTCATTTGTTTGGCTATATTGTAATTTGCTGAGCTATCTTACTGAAATATAAGTTCATTGAGGGACTGTAGCTATCTTGATCACCATCATACTCTGAGTGCTCAATAAAGTGCCCAATAGGGTTCAGTAACAGGTGTTGCAGGGATAAATTAGCATTTGTAGGATTGTTGTACAACTTCAGTAAGATAATTTATGACATATTCCAAGTTCTTGAGAAAGTAAATCTTTTTAAAAATTATTTTTAGGGGCAGGATTGGCATGAGATACATCTATTTCAATATGGTAAAGTAGCTGTCCTTAGATTGTGAAAGGAAAGTATAACCAGGCCACTATCCATATGGAGTGAAAGTCATTGCTGACACACAGAGGGGTCAAGTTATGGAGGAAAACTCCCCTCAAACAGACAAGATACTTTCTATTGAAAGATATTCCTAGCTCTAGAAGCACCAGCAGACATTTTTGACGTTTTCATTTGCTAGAGACTGGCCAGGACAAGATGTTACCCTGAGCATTTGCTCAAAGATGGCATTTTCTCACCCCACTTACAGTATGGCAAAGTTGTCATTACAAATCTCATCATGCCTCCCTTACACAAGTTTAAGAGAGGTGGGATTTTCCTCTTACTTTTTCTTGGTACAAAGAAAGTTGCTTCAATGAGCCTAGTCTGTATTTTCAATAAAAACTACTATAATTTAAAACCCACTGGAAAAGGGTAGTTAAGCCATTGAAGGATGCTTCTACTTTATTTTTCCAATTGATGACTCCATTCCAGGTCTCTTTAAATAAATCCAGGAAGATTATGGGAGAAAGGAAGGTTCTGCAGATGTCTTCTTAAAATAGGAAAAAAGCCAGTAAAAACTAATGATCTAACAACAAACAGCTGCCAATTCTGTGTCACTGAGTCATCTTCTATTGGGAAGTGTTTGGATTTCATTAGGCTTTTAAGTGCCGCAGGCTGATTTATTATTTTCATTTTTATTTTCTTAGTGAGTTGTCATGAAACTTCACATCATTAATATGAAGAATAAAGTGCCAAATAAGCTATAATTTCCTATATGAGTACAGTAATGATGATAATAATAATCACTGAAGGCTCTCACATTTATTTATATCAACTGAATTCCAAGATGGTACAGAAATCATCCTTCAGAATATTTAATCACCTTTCTACTTCATCTTCCAATCTCTACTCTCATTCTGATCTTTTGTAGCTTTTTTTTTTCTTTTTTTTTTTTTGATACTCAACCTACATTCAACTTCTAGGCTCAGCCTTTTTCCTAACATTGTTCAAACCATCACATTCCTTTTCATTTTTTTGATGGGAGTTTTCTGTGCAGTATTTACTATGCCATCTATAAGAATGCCATCATGAAAATCACAGCTAACTTTTGACAAAGGATTAAATAAAGTTACATGGAGAAAATAAAATAAGGCTGCTTATTTCAGGACACTGGTCAGATGGGAAGTTTTAAGTACTACTTGAATTTTCGTATGTTTTCTCCAATTAGGAAAGTTATCCTCTCCTATATGTCTTCAATTAATATGTGCTACCGGTTCTCCAAATGGTCAGGCATTTTATGTTCATACATGCCTACTTTCTCAGTGATGAAAGATGCTGCTAAAGTAAATTGTTTCATGATTTTTGGGAAATCCTCTATAAAGTCCTTTTACTCATGATGAAAGATCTCAAAGAGAAATGTGTTGTGCCCCATAATCTAAACAGCACGATTAATTACTACCTCATGTCTCAAGAGTTGAAACACTTAGATTATGATTTTTTTGTTTGTTTGTTTTAGGTATGCAACAATAGAAATACTGGATAGATAACTTCAGAGAATATCGAAACATAAACTCGTGGAGATTTCAAACCTTCTTCAGCAAATGCAATATGATTCAGGTGAATGTTTAAGCAAATGTTTTTTTGAAACTATGACTTGAAGTACGAAGTCGATATAGGCTTCAAAACGCACAAGCACACACATCATGGCTAAAACTAAGGTTTCATGATATCATACCCTCATTGGATATGAGAGGTGAGTGTGCTTGTCAGGTTCAAGGGCATAATAAAGAGTCAGCGTGGTTGAAGCAGAGTGAAGGAAGGTAGTAGGAGATGAAATCAGAGGCATAAAGAAGCCCAGGTGATGGAGGGTCTTGTAGGCCACTGTAAGGCTTTCAGCTCCTATTCTGAGTGTGTGATGAAATATGAGAGATTTTTAGATGAAGAGGGACATAGTGTGACTTGGCTTCAACAGGATCATCCCAACAGCTGTGTCATGAATAGGCTGTAAGGGACCAAATGTGGAAGCAGGGAAACCAACTAGGAGGCTTTTCTGATACCATGGATGAGGAATGATGGTGGTCAGACCAAGGCAGTGGTGGTAAAATGGGTAAAAACAAAACAAAATAGTCTGTCTCTGCATATATTGTGAAGGTGGAGCCACCTTGTGAGGTTGGATGCATGATATGAGGAAAAGGCATATGAGTCAAGGATGACTGCCAGGCTTAATCTGAGCAATTTGACAGATGGGGTGCTACTTACTGAGACTGGAAAGATAAAAGAACATATTTATGGGAATAAAACAGTTTAGTTTACATTTGAGCTGTTTCTTGGATATCAACCAAAATGTCTCAAAGGCTAGAAATACTAGTCTCAGATTCATGAGAGAGGACCCGGCTGGGTGTACATATTTGGGAGTTGTCAAAAAATGTTGATGTTTAAAGAACCAGTACAAGAAATACCCAACTGCCAAATGAGTCAACGTTAACGAAGAAAGAAAAGATCAGAGTTTTGATTTCTTCTGAAAACAACCTTACGACAAGCACTGGAGTGAATACAATGTAACTGAAAGGTGGTACAAGCACCGCTAAGGAAGTGGGGAAAGGAAAACAGAGCAAAACGAATTAAAGGAATAATGGGAGTGTTTATAAGCTGGTTGCCACCAAGGACAACTGGATTTCAATTCTAGTGGGGCCCCTCTGAGGGACTGTATAGAACATCCTTCAGAATTAGGCTGCCAAGGAGACAAGAATCTGCAGTATTTATTCATCCATTCCTGTCTTCATTCATTGAGGATGCTGCCGAGGCTTTTAAATCCCTGGCTCTTTGAGGCCCAAGGAGCTGGAGAAAGTCCTTTGGCAAAGAGACAGATGAACTCGGGGACATGGGGCAGGGCATCAAAAGGTTTGGCTCCAGGTCTGAAGACTGAACCCTGTTTTGAGACTCAGAGCATGAGGAGGATCCACAAAGGAGACTGAGAAGGAGGAGCCAGTGGTAGGAAGAAATTGAGAAGAATTGTGGTGGCTGAAATCAAGAAAAGTTTAGAAAGGAGTGATATTGAGTCCTAGTCACTGGATTTTATATCATAGAATTTGAGAACCATTTCATTGGAGTGGCCCAGGATGAAAACCCAATAGGTTTAGTTAGGTTCAAGAGAAAAGAGAAGTTGGAAAAAAAGTGGTTTGGAAAACTTACTGGAGGAGTGTTGTTGTAAAGAGGAGCAAAGGAAGGAGAAGGAGATTTGAGAAGTTGCAGGATATTCTTACTGTGAAATCCACACTAGGGGGGAATGAAAAGGAGACAGCTGATAGATGTTGAGATTTCTGGCACAACAAAGAGGCAAGTATCCATTGGTTTGACAATGCCAGTAATGGAGTCTATATCTGGTCTATGGCTATATACCTTGCATGCATTTCGCTGATCACCCTTCTCCCTCTAATCCTAGAGAATGAATATGACCAAAATCATATTTAAAACTACTATTAGAGATTTTGGGGGTTTTTTAAATGTCATTTTAATGTGTAGTAACTCAAGAGTTTGAAACACAGTCATTGTGCTTATAAATTAACTTAGCAGAGATAAAGATTATCCTTATCCTTAGCAAAGGATATATTAAAAACACATAGAGCATTTTATATGAACTTAAGAATAAGACCACCATGATGTGGGCATGTGTGTTATATGTACATACATATGTGTGTGCATAAAACAATTTCCAATACAGGTAAATAAGTTCTAAAAGGCATATGGTATTATTAACCTTCTTCTTTACCTTGTGTTATTCATTGTCTGTATGCTTCTGGAGTCTGTCAATTGATTTTACAAATTAACCACCTCTGATGACTTTGGAGTTGCTTAACAACGATTTGACTTATCAGAAAGAAATTCTGCTCACGAGCCCTTGATGATAAGGTAGCATTGACATGTGGGTGTTTATGTTGTAAAACAAATGGAAAGTAGTGACATTATAAATATTATAGATTGGAACAAGATTGTTATGAGCTTGTACAAAACATAAAAGGAGAAAAAGTTGCTTAGGAAAAAAGCAAAGCCCTGGCTTCTCCATTCGAAAGCTTTATTCCATGTAGTTTTTCTTTAATGGCAACTTTCTTTCATACGATATCTGAATGAGGAACTTTATGATACATTTATTTCATAAATAGTTAGGTTTTTATGACAGACAATACTCTCAAATGCCATTCATGGAGAATTTTCTGATATACACAGAGATAATGTTCAACATCAGCATGTCTAATATTGATCTGACAAAGTGATTTGAGTTCATCTTTGGAAAACAGAATCACAGAAGATGAGTCTATTCAGTTTGAAACTTAATGGAACTAGTTATGCAGAAAAGATACAAAAACAGAGTTGAAGTGGTGGCCACACCACAGATGAGTGCCTTTCAGTATAATGTTCATATTGAAAAGTTAAACATTAGTTAGCATGCGGATGTTAGACATCAGCACTGTGTGTGTGTGTGTGTGTGTGTGTGTGTGTGCCTGTGTAAAACTAGTTGGAAGGTTATACAATAAATAATAGCTATTTTCAGAAAATAAATTACCATATGAAGTTATAAGAAATAATGTACTACTTAAAATTCAATTACATTTTTCTTTTCTTTTTTTTTAACGTTTATTTATTTTTGAGAGAGAGAGTATGAGCAAGGGAGGGGCAGAGAGAGAGAGGGAGACAGAGGGACCCAAGCAGGCTCCATGCTGTTAGCACAAAGCCTGATGCAGCATTCAAACTCACAAACCATGAGATCATGACCTGAGTGAACGGTTAACCAACTGAGCCACCCAGGTGCCCTTCCATTTTTCTTTAAAAATATTTGAGTAGTACTGAAGGTGTTTATTTCTTCTAGGGGGAAGATAGTCCCCTGCTGAAAGTCTGTCTTACATTTACCATTTGCCTTGTTGTCACTGGCCCAAGGACCAAGCAGCTAACGTGGGTGCACAAGGTCAGTGGGCAGAAGCATGTCAAGGGGGCAGCCCCTGCCTGGCACCAGGTGACTTCTTCCAAGCAGGAATGCGCAAAACTTCCCAATTTTTAAAGAGAAGCCCCTTTGCTCCTCTCCAAATTTGGGTTTTCATATGAAATACCTTAATTTTAAATTATGGCTCCATTTTTGGAAGACATTTTTCAGTCGGTCCACATAAATCATGTCTGAAGAGCAGATTTCACCCACAGGCAGCCAGTTTGCAAACTCTGCTCTATGCACACCATGCAAAGGTAACACGGCAAGCTCTGGGCCTGATTTTACCTTTTACGTGTCTTGTGAACTACCATAGATTCTCAAATGTACAGAAGGCATTCTCTGTCAGTAAGTTTCAGAAAAATAATTTAATGGTTAATTAAAAGTCATACACGTACAAGCCTGGAAAGAACACAAGGGGAATCTTCCAAGGTGCTGGAAATGTTCTAGATCTTGATGACATGGACCATGGGACAAGCATTTCCATATATAAAACTTCATGGAGCTGCACACTTAAGATTCATGCACTACAGGGGCACCTGAGTGGCTTATTCGATTAAGTGTCCAACTTCAGCTCAGGTCATGATCTCATGGTTTGTAAGTTTGAGCCCTGCATCTGGGTCTATGCTGATAGCTCAGAGCCTAGCCTGCTTCAGATTCTGTGTCTCCTTCTCTCTCTGCCTCTCCCCTGCTCTCTCTCTCTGTCAAAAATAAATAAACATTAAAAAAATTTTTTTAAAAAGATTCATGCACTTCACACACTCATCTGTGTGTGTGTGTGTGTGTGTGTGTGTGTGTGTGTGTGTGTATGAATGAGGAGCATGTCAAGGGGGCATGATATATATCTATATCTATATATATATAGACATATATATATATATATATATCTCCATCTCCACTAACAAACTACCAACTTTGAAACTTTAAAATAATAAGATGGCAATTTAAATGCAGGAGTAGACAGGGCAACGTCTTCTTCCTTGGGGTGTGCACAGAGACAGAGACAGTCTGAGCAACATGAGGGTTATATTTAGTGGGAAAGAAGACTTCACAAAACAAAAAGATGAGAGCTAGTCCTGTCTAGATCCCCCCAGTATTTTCCCTTTGTTCAGCGGCCAGTAGGCTCTTCCTTTTGATTTGAGTGGAGGCTCCTTTCAGATATTTCATTAACATTTTCTCCTGAGTCACAATGGACCAGGCATTTGACTGATTGAAAGGTGCACTCAGGCACAGGGTGCAAATTCTTTTAATGCTGGTAAAGGGTACATATGATTTCAAGCATTTGTCTATAAGAACTGAGGGCAATGAGCTTCCTAGGACACTGAGGGAGTTGAATGTCCTTGAAAAATGTCCTGCTGTGGATGTTTCAGCCCCTCTGGACGAGTATCCCATCTAGTACATTAAGAAACTCCATTGTGGTCCTCTTGCAGAGTAGAGGTGATGTAGGGGATAGGTAGATGATCTGAGTGCATGCCTGTCTCCTCACCAGGTACAAGGAACTGTACCCAACACATTTCCAAGTGGTGATCTCAAGACAAGGAGGAGATCGAAGATCCCAATTCCAGGCATGTTATTGCTTTCACTGGCCCAAGCTTCAGGTCTCCTGGGGTGTATGACTGCAACATCAAT